AAACCCTGAGGGGAACCTCACAGTACAAAAATATTGTGAAGCAGTGGAGGGGTGTTCTTTGGTGGTTGTTACTGCTGTTTTTACAGGAAGCACAAATGAGGGGCAAGCAACCAGCATCCTAAAATACTGGGGCTCTTTCTCTCACATTTGGTTCACTTCACTTTGAAGATGAGCAAGCAGCCTGGTGCCACGCTGGAGCGCAGAATCTGCACTGCAAGGCAGCACGACAGGGCTGTTCCTGCTCTGCGTAAAGGGGCAGGCTGCAAAGTCCGGCATGTGAAGGTCGGCAAACACAGCATGGAGCCTTCTGTTTGAGACATGCAAAAGGGGACAGACAACGAGCTTCCCAGGGTGCTTTACAGCATGAGGGGCTGCACAGCAGGGCTGCTGGAGCCTGCAAGAGGAACTGCAGAAAGGGAAAGCCCTGCCCCAAGGTTTGTCTCCTGCAGCTGTGGGTGGCCCACAGTCCTGCTCCTCTCCTACCCAGCGGGCATCGTGTTCAGCTGTTCAGCAGGAGAAAGACAATAGAGGAATTTGAGTTCCTATTCAGGACTACATGGAGACAAGCACCTGTATATTTTACTACTATGAGCCTCAGGAAACAAAAAGCAGGAGGCACATTTGGAAAATTGGATCCTAAGGTCCTAATGTGCTTACACATTTAGATGGGGCTTTGCAAAAACAACATCCTCGGCACTTCTTTTGGTAAAAATAAATGTTGACCTATTCCTTGTCTGACTTTGTATTTGAACCCGGTATGATTTTGATTGGATTATGTAAAAGAGCCACTTTGAGCTGGTATTAAAAATTCAGAAATACAGAAAAAACTACTCTCAGGCTTAAAACATACTCCTGAACTTCTAAGCTATATGCTGACACACAGCATTGTCCCACTTGACAGTGCTATATTTGCAGCCTGAAATGATGATGCTTTTGGTGGTTATTTTTCATGTAGGAAGTCACACTAACACCCCTGAACCACCTGCATATATCTCAGAGCTAACTTTTCCCCTACCAGAAAATGATTCTGTTTAAGACTTTTAAAAAGAGAGATTGTGAATGTCAAGGTGTTATAAAAAGATAAAACATGCATTGCCCATGTTCCCAGCCTCCTGCCCAGTGGGGCATTCAGGGCAGGCTTTGTTGAGCCAGTTTCATTACTGGAGAGCTTGATAAATGCTCTACTATGAGTAGCCTGGAGATTTCTTTTAGGCTCATACTGTGAACCCACTCAAGTACAGAATATCATTATATGGCTTTGTTATTATTACTTTTTTCTAATTTTTCAATTATACGTTTTTTAGGAGTTAAGGAGCCTCTGGTATTTGCAGTAACTCTCTGCTACATGCATAAAATTACATGGATTTGAGTCAGGCTTTTGCCAAGTACAGAGTTAAAGATGGTCATCCTCTCAGCTTCTCAACCCAGAAGCCTCCCTTTTCTCAGCTATAAAGTGAAGAGACAACTATAAAGTCTCACACTCATCCTTACTAGTTCCAATATTGTACTCAAAATGGGGTAAGAGTGTCCATGGCCTAACACTGATCTGTGAAATATCTATTAGAGGTCTCAGGATTTCTGACAGATCCAACAAGCATCTTAAAGCCATTTGACAGTTTTGGCATCAACTTCCCAATGAACCTTTGTTATCTTTGGGGAGGGAAATCTAACCACAGTAGTCCTTCCTTATCTGCAGTTTCAGTTACTCATGGTCCATGAAGGTCCAAAAATATTAAATGGAAAATTCCGGAAATAAATAATTCATAAGTTTTAAATTTCACACTGTTCTGAGCAGTGTGATGACTTCTTGTGCTATCCCACTCTGCGCCACCCAGCACAGCAATAATCACCCCTTTGTCCAGAGTATCCATACTGTATACTACCCACCCATGAGTGGCTGCCTTGGTTATTAGATCGACTGTCACGGTATCTCATCACGTAGGCATTTTATCATCTCATATCATTACAAGAAGAAGAAGAAGAAGGATGAGTACAGTACAGTGAGATATTTTCAGAGAGAAAGAGATCACACACATTCATATAACTTTTATTATAACATATTGCTACAACTGTTCTATTTATTATTAGTTATTATTAATCTCTTACTGTGCCTAATTTATAAATTAAACTTTATCATAGGTATGTGTGTATAGGAGAAAACATAGTGTATGTGGTTTCAGGCATCCACTGGGGGTCTTGGAACATATCCAAGTTTGTAACTACTGCAGTTACAAACTCATTTTAAAATTTATGACCATAACAAGTGGGCTGCTAGTGAAGTTAATGGTCCACAAAGACGATCCCCTTCCTTTTGCAAAAAACATCTAATAACCTTCTATTACCATTATTTATTCTTTAACAGAAAAATTTACACGATACGTAGAGATTTGAAGTAAATTAGTGATGTTAACAAATAACACTTTGATTTGATCAGGAATTTTAAAAAACAAAAACAAATAATACTACTGACATACTTCAATGCCTTCACACTAAACTTACAAAATGGAAGAGATGTTGGGATGGTTCTTGGTGCAATAAAGAATTTTGCACAGAAAGGTTTCATGTTAGGGTTTACAGAAGCTCCTTGTACGAAGAACTCTCCTGGTGGGTCCTTAACTTTTCAAGGCAGCTATCTGCTGTGAAGTGAAGCCCTTCTACATTTCACTTACTCTAATGTCATATCCTTGATAGAGTTACTGAAATTGTTTTAGGAAGAAGGTATAAATTACAAGCAAATGAAAATATATACATGCTAGGCCTTTAGTCTATGATTGATATCAAGACAGCAACTTGAGTAATTAGATTATGAAAGTAATTCACGTGAAAGCAATAACAAGTAAAGTTGGGAATCTGCTGCTCGATTATTTAATTTCTTTCTCTTGCTCTGACTATAAATCAAAACATTCTCAAAATTGTAGGCACAGTAAAAATTGAATTAAAAAGTTCCTGGAGAATTTGGATTAAAAATGAAATAAATTATTTTTGTTGTTGTTATTGTTTGGTTTTAAGAAACTATCATATAGTAAATAAGGATGATCTGAATTACGACACTATTAATGGAGTTGTTAGGAAATGTGTTTCAGGAAAATAATTAATGTGCTTTGACTATGAGCAATTTAAGACCTTACTAGGGTATTATACAGTGTGTCAGTAATTTAATGCCTCCTCACTGTATCCCTGATTTGGTACATGTCTCCAAAACAGATTTTTTGATTTGCATCTCTGTCTCTTCTGCTAGACCGAACTCTTCCTAGGCAGGGATGGTGTCTTGTTCATTGGTTTGTCAGAGGATAGCACTGCCTTGTGTACAGCAGGTGTATAATGTATGAGGGTGCTGAGAAAAGTTCTCTCTAACACTCCACGTCCTTTCTAACACCTCCAGTCTTCTGGGCCTTCAATACCCATTGCTCCCAGGAAATTTCTCTGGATCACTTGTTAGATGTGGCATTCTCTTCCACAAACCTTAAACTCACCAGGAAGCCCATAGCCTTCTTTTCAAGTATATCAGAATGTGATTCCTTCAGGGCGTAGACCATATCACACCCTTCTCTAAATCTACTGGAGCCCTAGCACACTGCTTTGAATATAAGAGGAGTTTTAAAAGTCACTGATTCAATAAACTCAGGATTTTAGAACTAAAAGAAAGACTTTAGGGACCAATTGGCATGGTGGTTCTTATCAAGAGATTTAACACCTCTTAGGGGGCATTCTGAAAAACTGAGGGAGCAATTTTAAAACTTATCACAATGATTGTATATGTGGTGGGGGGATGCTAGATGACTTATAATCCCAGGAATGTCCTGCACAACAGAGAATTTCCCTGTGTCCTGAACTTTCTCATGTCCTCCTGAACACTCATGATTGTTTTCAAAAAATTATAATTATGTGAGCCTAGACAGTTTTACTATGGATTTCCAGGATTTACTTAGATTTCCCAGATTCAGATACTGTGTAAATTAAAGGAAGATGGCATTTCCTTAGGACACCTTCTTAAGAGTGTTCAGACCATGGCTAAGAGCTTTTCACTATGTGGAAAATTTCACAGTCAACCTCACTAGCAGCCATGGTGTTGGAGCTGACACCCACCACCCCGCCTTGGTCTGCATTTATAGCAGCTGCATTCACAGTGATTCCATGTACACATACAAATATACTTACTGAGCTCTTACTGCACAAGTCAAATATAAAGAAGCAGTGTCCACCATAGCCAGTTAACTACTGTCTGTCTTCTTTTAATTGCAGAGTGATTCATTATAAGTGGATGTGAACATCTGGCCACTTTATTAGGCTTTCTACTGTATTAATAGCGATTCCTGAATTTCTGATATTTTTACTTTATTGAAATTTTATTTCTAGGTAGGTTGTATTAGGTATAAATTTTATTTTAGGATTTGCTATAAAAATGGGGCATTGGGTCAGATACTATTGAGAACCATTGATCTAGTAGATTTCTGTATAGTCTCTTTATTTTTCAGAAAGGAAATGAGACCATAGAGAAGAAATTATGCACCCTAGGTCAAATGGTGGATTAAGAAGTAGCCTTTTGTAGATTAATTGATGTATAGCTGTAGCATAAATAATTAACATTCCAGATCCTAACACCCCGAAGGATTATGTTTTGCCATATAATATACAAAATACTAGGAGTTAAAATAATTTGGTCTACTCTTTCTAAAGGAAAACATTTTATGGCATTTCCTTTTGTCAGTGATCATCCTTTCCTTATCCCAGGTGAATTCCAGCAAAGGACTCTATATAGAATGTTTCATTAAAGTAGAACTGCCATTTTAAAAACCTCTGACTTAGTATAGGGCTAGACAGAGCGTTTATTCTTTGGCCCTGTTCCGTACTCCTTTGCCCCCTCCTTTGCTGCGCACCCTGCAGAAGAACAAGCTTTCGTTTCCAGCAATATCAACAGTGTCAATGACTGCCCCACGGAGCTCCGTGTGCATTCCTTTCTTCTGTGTCTTCCTAAGCAACTTCACTCAAGCATCACTGACCTGTGACCCCGCGAAGTGCCTTTGAGGGCTCCTCGAGTATTGAGATCTTTTTCTCCCGAGGGATCGGGGCTGGTTTTTCGTTGGCAGAGTCAGTGGACGAGCTGTCCTTCTCGCAGCCATTCACGTGGCCGTTCTGTATCTGTGGCGCTTGCGGCTGTAGGGGCCCCGCTTCAGGCCTCTCTGCCTTGTCTTTAGCATCTTTGTTGCCTTGGTGCTGCTTAGACTTGCTTCTTTTTCTTTTATTGTTCTAGAAGGAGAAACAAATGAGAAAGTAATATGAATAATTCAAGCTCGGACCCTTGAAATAAATACAAGGTGAATCCGAGAGATGAAAGTAAGATACATTATCTTTTTTGGTACCTGGCTCTTAGAATGGGTGAAGACACCTACATCTTTAATAACCACCCAAATTAATTTACATATCTTCTTTCTTCCAATAAGATGTATAAACTTTCATAAACCATAAACAAAAAGGCTCCATTAAAAGCAAAAAATAACAAGAAATGGCTTAAATAGCTGACACATTATTTGAGCCACTTGAGGCTCCACATATATGCATGGTGATATAGTAAAGTCTTGTGATATCCATCTTGAAAAAACTTAAATTCAGTTATTGTGCCATTGGGGAAGAGCTCTCATTTCTTAAAGTGGTGATGGGGCTGGAGGAGGCAGGAGGACACTGAGGTCCCCACTGTTTGGGGAGGAGACGGGGTAAAGGGGACAACTGGGAGGGAAGGCAGGCAAATGAGGATGGAGAAGGCAGATCCCAGCAGGAGATTCCTGGAATTGCTGCCACGGTCCAGGAGGTCTCAGGTAGCCGCAGGATCCATAATTATCCTGCCATATTTAGCTGGAGCAGAGAACTGCTCCAAGGTAATGTCAAACTGACCTGAGTCCACCTGGATTTGGATTGTGCAGCCGGATCCCTGGACCTCCTGGTTGCTAGCTGAACAGCATTACGAAGCTTCATTTTATTTACTTTGAAATAACACAACACTGCATTTTATGCAATTGAAATTTTTTTTTTTTTTTTGAGACAGAGTCTCGCTTTGTTGTCCAGGCTAGAGTGAGTGCCGTGGCGTCAGCCTAGCTCACAGCAACCTCAAACTCCTGGGCTTGAGCAATCCTTCTGCCTCAGCCTCCCGAGTAGCTGGGACTACAGGCATGCGCCACCATGCCCGGCTAATTTTTTATATATATATATATATATATCAGTTGGCCAATTAATTTCTTTCTATTTATAGTAGAGACGGGGTCTCGCTCTTGCTCAGGCTGGTTTTGAACTCCTGACCTCTAGCAATCCGCCCGCCTCAGCCTCCCAGAGAGCTAGGATTACAGGCGTGAGCCACCGCGCCCGGCCTTGCAATTGAAATTTTTTAGGCCCTAATATCACAGGGGTCTAAAAGTAAGGTTTTACTATATCTCCCCTAAAATGCTCTAATGGTCAATAATAATGTCAAAGAAATTAAGATGTGCCTCCTAATTATGTTGTGTGCTTTACTTGATGTGCTTTTGTACCCAGTTGATATGTGATGTACTTAACAACCAGCATGGCACAGGCCCCAGCCAATGGGAACAGACACGGGCCCACTGGGAAGATCCTGTCCCACCTGCCGAATCAGAGAGTCTAGGTGAACATCACCCTGGCTTTGCCCTTCAATACATTTAGAAAAGAAATACAAAGAAACAGTTTTGCTTCTTAATCTCCTCCCTTCTCCTTTTCTTTTCCTTTGAAACCCATAATCGTGCCCCAGTAAATGCTCCTCCAAGGGAGTGCTGTGTGCTCAGGGGTGAAATGAAGGGCCCATGGCACCTGTTCCCAGGCAGCGCCCCAGTGGCTTCCGGTTTCCACACTCCACACCTGCTGGGCTGGGGAGACCATTTTACTTCTGAACCTCCAAGAGGGAGACTCAGTAAAGAGCTGGGTCTGCAGCTGCTGTCTGCTCTTCTTCTCCCCATCAGAGAAATTTAATACCCAAACCACACATGTGAAATTTTTCTGTGTAAGTATAAATACTGCCTTTAAATCACTTGCAAATCAACCTCAACTCACACAGAAGCCTGGGAAACTATGATTAAAGACAAGCAGAGGAGGTTGTCAAAGATGGTGGCATACAGAGGTTATAAAAATCTCATAATTCTTCCCATTCCATGTGTAACGAGGAGGAGAAAAAAGGGGAAAGGATAATTCCAGTAATATTAGGATTTTATGAAAGTAATATTGCTTTTTTGTTTGTTCCAAACGTGTTTCACGGGCCTGTGATCTTCCGCACAGGAAAGGCAGACTGGGGTACTGTATTCCGGGAGGGCCAAACACAGGGCATTGCTGTGTCAAGGTGGGCATGGCTGGGATGGTTACTTTGAAAAGAGCAGTAAATTTTTGCTAGTGTGTGCACAAGCACATCTCAGCAGTGCCCAGAAGTCACAGACTCTTTGTGACTAGACGAGAAAGTGAAATAATTCAAGTGAGACAAAGTAAGATCTCCTTCCCTCTGTTCTGAAGCAGCAGTATGCCGGTGTTCGAGAAGGCCCCTTACTTATGGTTCTAAGGCATTTTCTTTTCTTCTTTTATTAAAGATCTACCATGGAATTCAACCCAAAAAATATCTCAGGGCAGCCTTGGAGAAATTCTTTCAGGTGGAAACACATGTGAAAATAGATCTAGAGCTTTTCTACCATCTTTAAAACACTCCATAATTTTTTTCTTTGTGCTACTGGATATGTTCAGGCAAGTTCATGTTTTGAATCCTTTAAATTCTCTGGCTGGGCTCCCCTTAATACTTAAAAAGAAAAACAACTCTGGGACTTCTTAAGCACACCTGGTAGTTAAAAACACCAAACATAAAATAAGGGCATTAGTAGTGACAATAGCTGATAATTTAAGAGAGTCACGAATTTGGAAGCTTTCTGGGTATATATATTAACATATTTGAAAGAAGTATAAAATTGGCAGCTTGGTTAAATGATAACAACTATGAAGATTTTGATTGACGATTTTACTAATTTAAAACCAATATTAATCTTACCTTCTTTTTTCCGGTCATATTCCATTCTTTTAGAACTTGAATTGCACTGCCTAGACAAAGACAAAGAATCTTCAACAAACATTCACATAATAAAACACCACACAAAATTCATCTCTGTCTTTCCATCCTGGTAGCAATTTTTTTTTGGCTTTTTCATTTGTTTTGATACACCCTACCTTAATAAAAATGCCAGTTTCATTTTTATTTCCCAGATTTTCATTTAATTCACTGCATGATCTTGGTTTTATCAAAGTATTAAGCCCCACTACATGAAGCTTACTATTTTATCATTATATTGTCTTAGGGAAAATGAAATATATCTTCAGAATTTTCTGATAGCTTCATTGCCATAGGTAGAATTAAAATTGTTCTGTTTGATATATGAATAAAGATGCCTATAATCTTCTGAACCAAACATGGGATTCTGAATATTATTAATCATAGCTTTCTTTTGGCCATTCCTTTTCTTTTTCTGCTCCTAGTCATTATGTTCACAACTTGCAGGGGGATGAGGAAGACAAATTATATGATGTGAGTTTCTCTCGAGGCACTGTGGATAGGGATGGGATGTGGTCTTTACAAGGCTTCCACCTTGAAATCAAAGAAATTCATTAAATGGAGAGTTGGGTCCCAGGTTCTGTTCATCCCATTCACATACATATGTGGAACTGCACTGACCCAGAGGAAAAAAAACTTAACCTGATTAAATTATAAAATATTTTTAAAGAAATGTTTTATTACTGGTCAGCTACAATCAGTGTTTCCACACAGTCTAACAAAGTTAATTAATTCATTCCAAATATGATAGAAGTAATTTCAAGAACAAGTACACTGGTAATGAGTACATTAGTTGTTTCCAAATAAAGAGGTACAGTACTACTGAAAGAAGGTACCTCTTAAATGTAGTCTTTGAGCAATTTTAAGCATCCGCATACAATCTTATTATACTAATAGCTCTCTACAAGGAGTGTGTTTGGTAAACAAAGATAAACTTCAGGCTGGTCTTTATAACAGATTTCAAATTAGTAGGGTCCCAATTATTGGGTCTACTGTCACTCTTAGAGAAGCAGAAGGCCATACGGCTTAGACTAATGTTTAGACAGGCTAATTATTCCTACCTATTTAAAGTTTCCGACTCAATGCCCCTCTTAGACTTGTTTGAGTTACATATACTTGAAATAATAAGACTGTACCTAAAAGTAAGCTATACTTCAGACTTTTTATTAACTGGGCTGGCCTTTCTCTGATTTGCTCAGAGAATTAATGTTTCATAGTATTTTCCTTTTGAAGAACTTTAGAGAGTCACTTTCATTGGGTTTCTTGGTAAATCACTCTAGTGGTTAACAATAATTAGGGTAGTTCTTATAGCTAAGCTTCAGTTTTCTAAATAAAATTAAATTTTAAAAATTGTTAAATACTGTTCTTTTTAATCAGAAGAAGGAGGTGAGTTGCTTACTGCTTTCAAACTGCAATATTCAATTAGTCCTCTAATTTTCATATTTTGACATAAATTCTATTTGTAATTTGGACAAGCAGCTTTAGACAGTAATTCTGAAGAATAAATACCCATATTTACAGAGAATTTTAAAACTGTTATTATTAAATTTTAATTATATTGAAACTACTTGGAGTTTTTTTTAGCTACTTGGAAATGGTGATTTGCATACACCTCATAAATGACTCCTAACAAATATTTTTTACTCAGTGGTTTTTAAACAAGTTTTCCTATTGGTTCCCAACCAAAATGATAGGAGGGGTCTCAGTAATCAGTGAGTTTTATTAATGAGATCCTCAACATTGACAAGGTGAACATTTCATGGAAAAGCTAGGTGCTTTATTTAAATACAAACAGATTCGATGACAGTCCGTCCGTCAGTTACTGCGCGCCTGTGCATCTCATCAAGGTCATTCTGCAATAAAAACTTCCATGGTGGGGAACGTGGGGTCTCAATCCAAGTATGGGTAGGAAGGAATGGGGATAATAACCTTTTTCCGTTCCTAAAGCTTTTTTCCATGCAAATGATGTTGGCAAGTGAAACCTGAAAAGAGAATTTAACTGGGCCAGGATGTGCATATTTCCAAAAATTTTTTGAGACAAATTGTACCTAATGTTGCAAAGTCAGATTAGTATTGCACTCTCTACTATTTTTTCCCTATGACTAAAGATTCTCTGTTAGTATACGAAGCAGGGGAAAACAGTGAGAAAAGTTATGTGCTGTGGATTTGCTTGCAGGTCTATGTTGAATGATAATCATTTGTTAGTTCAATGAGGAGACTAAACCTTGACTGCTGATACCAGAATGTAAGCATGTTGCTTGGTTCCAAGATCTTGCCCTGAAATGCAATTATACTTGTAGAAACTCAAGGTTATTCTACTTCTAGGAAGATAAGTAAATCAAGCTGTCCTTGACAAATAAAGTGTAAATATTAATATGATACAACTGAGAAATGTGCTGGCAGGTCTTCCCAGACCTTATTTGTCAGATTATATGTAGCTAGCCCAAATGTACAAAATAGAAACTAATACTAGGACAGAAGACATATGATAACTAAGGACAGGTAAGAGATCTTTGTTCAAAACTGAAACTTGTTTAATTTGATTAGGAGAGGAGAATTTCCCCATAATTGATAGGTAGTCTGAAGCAATAAGCTGTAAATTAATAGGATAAACATATTTCTGAGACTTTAGATTCTAAGATATCCCTGGCAATGGACTGTCTAAACAACACATTTTTTTTCAAGAAAGCAAAAAGGTTTTTGAGATAGATAAGATAAATTAATACTCTGATTAATTAGGCAATTTAAAAATCATAAACTAATAATATTAAAAAATAAACCTATCCTCTAGACTACACAAACATCAAGGACAAGGATTCCAGTCGTATAGCCAAGTAGAATAATGCTGATTGAAGAGGTGAGAAGGCACTCTGGGTCAGGAATGAAATACATTATCCTCCATTTGCAAGGACACCACCAAATAAAGGATGTTTAAGAACAAGTTGGAAGGACTGGTAGAAAAGGGAATTATAAGCACGATAACCAGCATTCTTTGAAAACTATCTACAATCCCTTTTATTTCAAATGAGGGCAAAAGAACTGCCAGATCCTTCTCTCATTGAGTATGTCCATCTGTTTTTAAAGCCTAGCACATTTTTACGACAACTAGAGCATTGGTAACTGATATTCAGTTCATTTAAGGAAAAAATATGGAATATATGGAATATTTAGTTGCAACGTCTTCAGCTCCAGGGTACATGGATACCCACCATCCACGAAGGCCTGCACGGCTTTATCCACATTAAAATCAAACTGTTGAAGCACCAGAACTATTTCATTATTGCTTTTGTTGGGAACAACTGATCTGACTGCATAGATCTGTAAAGGAAAAGAAAAAGAAAAACACTTCTAAATATTTTTCATCTATAAATCACCCACTGGATAGAATTATAACTCTTAGAAAGGCCTTAAAAAGCCAACTAATCCATCTTCTTGCCATCAAGCATACTCAAGGCATTGTAGACCAGTGAAATTCATCCTGGTAATTACCTTGATACCCACTTTATTTGTGTACACATTTTTACAAAGATCTCCTTGTAGGACTGTAGGAACAAGTGTGAAAAGCCAACTCTGGTTTTGCAATCTACCCTCCCCCAAGACTACAGATGCATACAAGATGTGTTTTCAGCAAGGACACAGAATCTTTTTCTGTCTCAGGCGTCCTTTCTACTGGCTCAGGGGGTATCTTTAGAAGCCATACAGAAATAGTCTCATGCCTCAGCTTCTCTATCTGCCCAGTAGAAACAGCCATATCCAGGTTCACAGAAGTGTGCCATGAAACTCCATTTAATGTTTATACAGATACAAAAATATGGGGCATTGTATTTTTGAAATATAATGTCTTAGCCATCACACAGAAAATGTTCTCAAACACACTTCTGAAAATCAAACATTTCGAATTTTAAAAGCATGCACTGTAGGATGTTTAGTAGCAGAAATTAAAAAATAACTAAATAAAATAGTAAAAGTAAATATATGTATGAACTATGGATTTCAATAGGCTAAAGCTTATATTCAATGTTTAATGACCTATATCCACTTCTTAGGCAAATTTAGCATGTATTCTTTCTTCCTGCCTATTAGAACTAATTGAATTTTATCTCACAGAATTTGCAATTACTAGAGAATGCTGTATCTATTTTAGCGAAACGTGGAGCAACCCAGTTTTCTATCAAAGGGATTACTGAAGCTGCTACTGAAAAATATTAGAGTACTGCATGGTACAAAGGTAAGTGATCATTAAAGCACTGTATATTCTTTACATGTTTTCATCAGTGGTTAAATAATGACCAGTGAGTTTTAGTCAAATGCAGTTTAGTGTAATTGGATTCATGGAATACGGATTATATGGTACAGTATGTGTAATGTGATGTTATTGACCTGAACATTTATTTGAGCAGTACAGCCTATTTCCCGATTATATTAGAAAATAGGCAGCCTACTCCGTATAGATCTGTATATAAGAGTCTTTAGGTTGTAATGAGAAAGCAGCATGAGCTATGGGTATATGATTTGCAGAGGTGCTGACCCTATAGATTAGAAAGCTGGTTTTGAATCTTGACATTTATAAATGCTAAATATTTGGGTTTTACAGAAGACTCTAATAAAATGTATGTATTTGTGTATAAGCGATTCAAGATTCCTTTGGTTATTTTCTATTCTCACATTCTCTGGTTCTTAATTCTTTTAGCCTCCATTAAAAAATTAACTTCTTCAAATCTAACTTCTTTCTCATTTTCTCTCTGTACTCTCTTTAAAAATCCAGTTCAGTGAATATATTTTGAATGCCTATTGTTTGACGAGACACCACACTTTCTGGAACTCAGAGACTAGAGGGGGATACACACACTGATCGAAGGATCACACAAAATAAATATACTTTGTGTTAAGTGCTATAAAATTGTATGAGACAGAAACTTGACTTTATGTGATGTGCTGAGACCTGGAGGACGAGTGAGAAGAGATGGTGGGAGGGGAAGGGGAAGGGCATTTTGGGCAGAGGGAACAGCATGCATGAGGAGTGAGGCACAGATGAAGAATAGCTGGAGGCGAGTTTGGAGGGGCAGAGGGCAAGGCTTCTAGGGTACACAATGGGGCCAGACATGGGTGGGGACCGGATCCTGCAAGGGCTGTGAGGCTGTGCAAACGGTGTGGGTTCCTGAGCATCCCTCAGCTAGCCAAGATGGGGAGAACAAAAACAAAAGCAAAACCCCACATCCAGCCCAGGAAGGTCACTAACAGAGTATGCCCGACAATAGATAATATTTGCCGCATTGGAGTTAGTATAAAAATTACATGTTACCCTTCTAATATTGTTCTTTTAAACAAAATCTAGCATTTCAAGCCATTGTGGTTCAGCTCATATTATACAAAATTTCTTAATAATCATTGTCATTATTACCACATCAGGCATGCCCTTCTAAACAATACAATGCTTAGTTATTAATTATATTAATACATCATAGTTACATTAGACCAAAGTTTTCAATCTACCCACATAGCTGTGTGAATAGTGAAGACCCAGAATTATGGAATAAACATAAAATAATTGCTCTCCTGCTTCCAATCCCTCCCCTGAAAAACACAATACATTTTATTACATTAAGGCAAAACACAAAATACACCACTGTTTGTAGAGACACTTCCTTTTTAGATGTTTATACTGCTCTTGACTATCTTCCTTTGAAAGAAAAAAAATACAAACATGGCCAGATGTGCACAGAAAACATTTTCTATTCTTGTTATTTTATATATCCTAGTTTTGAATGTATCCTTAGAAAATTATTCATAACTGAGTCCTGATATCAAATCTAGCTAAATATTGGATACAATTCCAAGAGGAAGATATTTAATTAAGACACGTATTTCAAGTATTACAGAAATGAAAAAAAAGAGAGAGAGAGAGAAAACAGTTTCTGCCTATCTTGGATATTACACAGTAATGCTGAATTCTAGTGAATTTCTGGGCCAACCTCTGTGTCTGCTTTAATCACTGGGCTTGGCTACTGTGAAGAGAGCGGCATTGTTTCTCAACCGTGTTATTTATAAATTCACTACATTTATTTTCCTACGGAAATGCCTTTGAGAAAGATGGAGAAATCGTGCTCACTCCTATGTGCACATAAAAACACAGGAACCTCACTGTGTCACTATTCGTGACTCAGCAGAATCATAGCGGGTTTTGAGCATGTTCGTCTAAAGCAGCCCTCATTACGAAGTGGCTGCAAACACCAGGCGAGTGTGACCAAAGCAGCGTTACAGCGAGGCCGTGCTGCAGGGCTGCCTCTGCAGTTGGAAATGAAGCTTCTGAGGACGGGCGCTCCCGGAGGACTGGATCAATCAATGCGTGACTAATGGTAGTTTGCATACGGAGAACTCATAAAATTCACGCCCGCAGCGGCTGTTTTGCAGAGGCTGTGTTCTGGCACAGCTTCACAGGCGCAGCCTTTACTCCACTGCCACAGCTCGGGCGGGGGTGCCGGCTGCTGCAGCTTCTTCACACCTAAGCCGCTGTTTGAAGCTGCACTTGAGTGCACGCCTGCAGGGCTCTCACGCCATAAACAGCCTGGTCCCATCAGGCGCCCCCTCTGGCTGTTGGGGGACAATCAAGACTGCTAGTTAGCGGTTCATTTAGCAAGTGCTCTACCTTTCCCAAATTACGTTCCCTTGTTTTGCTGCTACTAATTTCAATCTGGTTTGGCAAAGTCAATTTGCTATCTAGAAATAGCACGTTGTTTTGATGCTACCTTTCCAGCGTTTTAACCTTGATTCTCTCCTCTCTCTGGGGCTTCCCTATCTGGCTCCACAGGCTCTGCCCGGTTCTGCTCGCCTGCACTAAGCAGGCAGCCAGGCGGTGTGACTCCTACGGACTCGTCCCCCATTAACCTACCTCCCCTGCACCCCAGTTGTCTGCTTTAGGAGCTGTTAACAGATTTCCTTGTTCACACTGTGAATTTTGAGGGCCTGTCTGTGATGAATGCTTACAAATTCTTCCTGGCTTCCCAATGAGCCACTTCAACTGCATCTGAGTTTCAAACGTGGTTCTGACCAAAGTTTTCAATCCACCTACACAGCTGTGTGATTCAGCAAAGAACCAGCATTATCAAATAGCCATAAAATAACTTCTCTCTCTGCTTCTGACTCTCTCCTGCAAATTTATTCTGAGGTGGCTGCTCTTTCTGAACTATTAATATCATCATGGCCATTTTGCTCCCTTCCTTAAGGATTTAAGAATAAAGTGAAATTCAAGTCCATCAGCCGTTGGGCTTCGACTTGCTTTCCAAATGTCCCTCCCACTCTACCCCTTCCCAGCCAAGCTCCTCAGGCCCAGTTTACCTCCCCTCCCCACACCCTGCATCTGTCCCAGATGGTTCCCTGGACCTGAGATGTGTCTGCTTGTCTGAATCTTACACGCCAGGAGAGATGCCTGTGTATTCCAGGAGGTCCTCCTTGATCTTCTCTGCCAGAAGTCACCCCTGCCTCCACTCCCACAGTGCTTCGTGGGTAGGTGTCTTTTAACCCTTAGCACCTTTTCCTTTATTGCCCAAGTATTTGTGTGCATGTTGTGTCTCCTAGATAGTAAGCAATGTGAGAGCAGAATCCTCGTCTGTCATTTTTGCATAATCACTGTGCCCATCCCCAAGTGACTAATATGGTTCATATAGCAGGTATGTAATAAATACTTATCCAGGGAGAGAATGCCAACTTGTAGCCATACTAGCCTGCTGCTTTGAGTCAGAGGAGGACTCCAGCAGCACGTGTGGATGGGACCACCCCAGCCCTCTGCATCTACCAGCCACAATAACAGGGGGTGGCTCTCACTGGACCGTGATGTGACTGAGCATTATACGGGTAGAACATATATGTGTTCTTTAAACTTCAGTAACAGAGATTGGAAGAAGATTTATGAGACTTTTAAATTCTTACAATTTTACTTCTATATAATAAGGTACTAATGGCATTTTGTGGAGTTTAAAATATATGAAAAAGTTCAGTAACTGCCTATCTATCCTTCCAAAGCACAACTCAGCAGACAGACATCGGCTGAGCTCCACTAGTGATAGGAACTGAGGATACAAAGAAGACCCAGATATAGTTCTTCTGTAAGGAGGCACAGTCTAGCAGTGGAGCCAGAAACATCTATCATAAAAGTATGTAATAAGTACTGCACTCTCTTTATGAACAAGGTACTGTGCTACTACAGAGAAGGAGGCAATTAAGTTTGCCCGAGTAGGGGAGAATATTTTATAGAGGAGAGAGCCAAATGCCGTGGAAAGAGCTCTGAAATTAAACAGACCTATGTTCTAATCTTGGCTCTG